GATCAAGAGGTCCCGAATAAACACAGGGTGGCCGAATGTGCTAAAACCCAGTCAGCACCATTCTCCCCTAACTGTCATGTAGATTTCTGTTAAAAGATCACTTTAAGAGATCTGATGACAACAAAAACCTGGAAAAGCAATCACAAAGTGCCAATAGCAAACACATCTAACACTCAGCAACAGTGAATGGAGACACGCCATTCCCTGGACGTGGTTCTGAGTGTCCGTGGAAGAGAGTCCTGGGGCGCCCCGAGCACTGGCAGGGGCAGCACAGTCATCACCCATGTCCACAAGGGGACAGTGGAAAAGGATCGGGAGTGGCATGGATGCTGACTTTCTCAAGGACAGTGGTAAAGGGGCCCAGAAGGAGGGGCCCCAGAACACCAGCGTGGTTCACGACAGCAAACATCACAGCAGCAAGTCCCAAGGAAGCAGGAGCTACCGCTCTGAAAGGGGGAACCGGAAACATGGGGAAACAAAATGTACTCCCCACCCCCACCACCAAATCAAGGACCCTGAAGTACTTCTGGGGAAACTCCCACACACGCAAATACATGAAACACACACGCACACTCACAACTCTAGTCGTTAGAATTTCTCGGAAAGCCCGACTTCCCTGGAGGTCAGAACGAGAGGGAAAGGGATCAAAGACAAATCTCAGAAAATGAAATGACATTTGAAAATATCATCCCTTTCTTTACAAATTGAATATAATAAGCTCAGAAGCATCTTACACCAAGACAAGCTGATCTCTGGCGGCTGAGAGCAACTTGAACACACACGTGACAGGACGGAGACACCAACAGCCTTTCATCTCGTAATCTTGCTCGTTACAGCAGCGAGAGCAAGTGAGGAGGGCAAGGAGCCACAGACACGGAGCTTTCAAGCCACAAACCACCTGGTATTCCAGCGCCTTCCTTGGCTAATTACAAAGGCAGTACTGTGTTACCTATGTTCCCTGTCAAACATTAGCATGGTCGGGGAATGGCAGAAAAGTGCACCCACCTGGTCAGAAATTCAACCACAGCATCACCAAGGAATTCCAGCCGTTCGTTGTGGTTAATCCTATAGCAAGAATTCAAGAGATGGCTTAAATAACACACATTTACATTCCCTCCCTCTGCTGAAAGAAAAGGACAGGTCGTGGAGGTTAGTGCTTTCAGCAATCAAAGGCTTTTACCTTATTCCTCCTACTAGAGAGCACCATCTTAGCTCAGAGGCCTCAGGCTCACTACAATCCTACAACTCTTCACTCTTCTCTGTCCATTGGGCCACAATGAAAACTGGGCACCCCTCAAGGCTCAAGGCCTAGGCAGTGTTCTCTTTGTTCTGAGACCTGCATCAAAATCAAGCCCACTTCCTCAGTGCACAAACCACTCTTCATTCTCTCTCATACACACACACACACACACGGGGTGGGAGGGAGTCCTTCCCTTTCTCCTCTGACCTTCTACCCTTCCAGGCATGATGTCCTTCTCCAAGGATTAGTGATTCAAAACTATGTACTATCTAATAGCATCAGGAATGGAGGAAGACATCAATAACCTATGTTTTAGAGATGACACAACCTGCTTGCTGAAACAGAAAAAGACCTGAAGCACTTGCTGTAGAAGGTCAAGAACTGTAGTCTTCAATATGGATTGAAGCTCAACATCATAAAGACAAAGATTCTCACCACTGGGCCAATTTGCAGCACCATGATGGATGGAGAAGAGATTGAGGTTAACAATTACAGCTTGCTTGGCTTCACAATCAACACTCCTGACACTAGCAGTCTGCAAATCAAAAGATGAATTGCACTGGGAAAATCTACTGTCAAAGACCTCTCCAGAGTGCTGAAAAGCAATGACATCAATTAGAGACTAAGGTGTGCCTAATTCAGGCCATCATCTTCACAATTACTTGCTATACATCAGAGAGCTGGACAATAAATTAAGGATGGCAGAAGAATAATCAATGCATTCAAATTGTGGTGCTGGAGGAGAGTCTAAAAGATACCATGAACTGCTAAGACAACAAAGAGGTCTGTCTTGGAGAAGGTAAAACCAAGTCTCTCCTTGGAGGCTAGGATTTTGAAGCTCTGTCTCACTCACTTTAGGCACATGACCAGGAGAGACTGGTCCTTGGAGAAGGACATCATGCTCAGAAAGGTGGAGGGACAGAGCAGGAGAGGAAGATCCCAGATGAGATGAACTGATACAGTGACTGGGGAAATGGAGGTCGGTGTGTCAGAATTAGTGAGACTGGCTCAGGACCGGGAAGGCTTCAGAGCTGCTGTACATAGGGGGTCACTATGGGACACCGGTAACTTGATAGCACATAGCAACAACAACAACATGGAATTCTTAGCATTTTTCTATTACTTTGGCTTCTTACATATTATTGTCTATTAAATTACAAACTATTATGTCATTTTAATATAATAATGACATCTCATAGGATATGTCTGTTTTCACGATGTTTGCTTTCTGGTAGGTAGAGTACAAGGCAGGTTAGTGGCCTGTGGAAACCCTGTGCCTTTCAGAAGTCTAACCTGGTCAGTTTCTCTCAGTCCTGTTGTGGAATACTGTCTCTTGGGCCAAGCAGATAACGTGTCCTGTTCTAATCATTTGAGTCTTGAAAAGGCCACTCTGGCTGTTACAGAGAATGGGTGCTAATCCCAGTGGATTAGTAGTCCCTATGGGGAGATGGTGGAGGCTGAGGCTGAGGAGATAATGGTGGAGGAGGTGATAAACTGTCTCATTTTGGATATATACTTGAAAAAAGGGCTGATAGTTGGAATTTGAGTGAATAGAAGAATGAAAAGTGAAAGAAAAGAGAATGAAGGTTGACTACTAGATTTTAGCCTAAGGAGTCAGGTTCTAGTTCTGTTAAGTCCTTGAAGATAGTGCTAGTTCTTGAGAACAGAAGACGAAAGAGAAGGCAAGTCTGGGAGAAACATAGGAGTTGAGTTTTACATGTGTAACTCTGACAAATATCCAAATGGAGAGGTTCAGTAGAGTGCTGGATCTTTTAACCTACTGTTGTTAGGTGAGAACAAAGCTGGTCACAAACCTTAAGAAGCCTGCAATGCTTAGAGAGTATTTAAGTGACTAGATGACAACATTTTCTAGGGAGAAAAGGCAGCTTGAGAAAAGACGCAGCATCTGAGGTGGGCCTGGGGAGTGTGAAAGTTCAAGGACAGAGCAGAAGAGTCAACAACTGAGAACGACTGGCTATGGAGGCAGAAGAAGTATGTTAGCCTAACATACTCTAACCAAACAGAAGTGGTCAGCATAGTGCCTCAAGGTTGCTTAGACTCTCAAGTAGGATGAGAACAGACGGGTGATGCAGTCAGTGATCTGGGGACATCTTCCAGGACCTTGAAGGGTATATGCTGTGAAGTGATAGAGGCAAATCCAAATAGAGTAGGCTGAAGAAAGGATGAGTTATTCAAAGTTCCAATGTGAAAGAATCTGAGTGATTTTTTTTTTCTTGGCTAGTCACAGAGTGAATCTGGAATTAAGGGATGTAGGCTAAAAGAATAACTGATGCCTTTGAGCCATAGTGCTGGAGAACAGTAAGGAACATCCCTTGGAATGCCAAAAGAACAAACAACTATGTCTTGGAGAAAGTGCATTTAGAGTGCTCCACGGAGTCACAGAAAAAAAGCTTTGTTTAACATACTTTGGGCATGTGGCTAGGAGGGGCTCTTCCGTGGAGATGGACATCAAGCGTGGAAAGGCAGAGGGTCAGAGGGTGGAAGAAAGACAGGAAGCCCCTCAGCCAGATGGACTGACATAATGACGGCTGCAATGGGCTTGAGTGTGTCCGGAAGTGTGAGGATCTGTTGTTCAGAGGGTTGCTACGGGTCATACTTGACTCGATGGCACCTAACAAAAACAGGGCTAAAACAAAGAACAGGAAAAAAAGGACAGACTTCCCTCTTTTACGGAAGTGTGAACACTGACTTTCTGGGAGTTGAGTAAGGAAGACAGGTTTGCACCTGAAGACTCTGGCACCTTGGCTCCAGGTTGTTTTTACTGTTAGGTGCTGTTGAGTGAGAACCGACCCACAGTGACTCTTCAGCGGATTTTCAGAGGCTGTAAATAGCACTGGAGGAGACTACCACCCGCAGAGAAGGTGGTGGGTTCCAACTGCCTGTCTTTAGATTGGCAGCACAGCTCCTGACCCATGGGGCCACTAGAACGCACTCTGATTACGGGAGAGTTCCTTAAATATCGCTCTATGGACCATTGTCTTCCTAGCAAATTTACAAACTGCCTATTAAGTCTAAACCTGCCTGGCTTTAATGAGTCCCATCATCCCCACCTATGCTATCTACTTTCAACAGCAATTTTCAACCCCAAAGCTGGACAGTCTCCTTACTAATACAATCATAAAATAGTGTCTCTCTCTCTCTCTCTCTCTCTCTCACACACACACACACACACACACACACACACACACACACTTTTTCTCAAATCCTGCCAACACCAGGTCTAGGTCAATGGAGAAAAGGAAGTCTGTTTAGGTCTAACTACTAAACCTTTTTGGAAGCAGGAGTGGCACCCACTTCCTAAATAACATGTCTTTGGAAACTCTATGAACTTTGATAAATGTCGATAGTTGTAGAGGGGCTTCAGTCTTTTGTTCACAGAATCGCTATGAGTCATGTTCAACTTGAAGGCAACCAACAACTGAAACTTTAGGGATAAACTGGCTAACTCCCATCATTTCCATTCCCACAAGCCTTAAACATTTACCAAATTATGACAGAATAGCACACAATCCTATGTTATTCAAGTGTGTCAGTTTCTTTTCCATATTTAAAGTTTCCCTATATTTTCATTATATAGTAGAAAAGAAAAATATGTGTAAATTAAATAAATCGTGACTCCCACATGATCTGCTTGAGAATCTGGCTTTAATTTCATATCATTCCATGAATAAGTTTCTAAGTCAATAATGGGAAGCAGGGGTGGTGGAAAGGGATTTACTTTATGGTTATAAGGAAGAATTAATAATAGTTCATTTAAAAAGAAAAGTATCAGGCCTCAAAACACACAGATCTTGTTCTTAACAAATATATACTAGCTTTTAAACGACGTTTTCATTTCTGTTGCTATTCCAAGGAGCTCTGGTGGCTTGTTGTAAAGAGTGGCACTGACAATCCCAAGGCACACAGTTCAAGCCCCCCAGCTGCTCCACAGGAGAAAGATGGAAAATCTCCTCCATGCAACTCACTGCCTCTGACAACCCACTGGAGGGCCAGCTATGAGTTGGTTCCAACTTGATGGAACCTAACAAAACCACACCACCATTAGCAATAAAGGAGAAATGAGAAAAGGCATGGCCCAGGATTGCATTTTCTCACTGTATTCACTCTGGAGGATGGACAAACGAGAAACTTTAAGAAGAATGCAGCATCAGGACTGCAGATTGACTAACAAGTGAGGATATGTGGATGACACATCTTGCTTGCTAAAAGCAAAGAGGACTTGAAAATCAAAGACCATACCCTTTGGGATGGACTACTTCTCAGCATCAAGAAAACAAAAAATCTTCCCAACTGGACCAGTAAGAAACAAGCCACCAACTGGAGAAGAGACTGGAGTTGTTAAGGATTTAATTTTATTTGGATCCACAATTAACACTCAGGGAAGTAGTAATAAAAAAAAAAATCAAAGAATGTGTTGTACTGGGTAAATCTGCTCCAAAAGTAAAGACAACATTTTTAAAGACTAAATGTTTCTGACCCACGCCAGGATATTTTCAATCTCTCCATATGCATACAAAAGCTGGACGTGGTGACCAAGGAAGACTGAAAAAGAACTGGTGTCTTCTTTTGCTTCTGGTTGCAGTGAAGAACACTGAACATACCATGGACTGCCAGTAGAATGAACAAATGGGTCGTGGAAGATGGTCAGTCAAAATGTGCCTTCATCTCCCATACCTGGGACAGGTTATCAGGAAGGACTCGTCTCTGGAGAAACCTATCATGCTTGGCAAAGAAAAAGGCCATTGAAAAAGGAAGAGTCTCCACGTGATAACTGGCTGGAGGGGCTGCAACCATGGGCTCACAT